CTTCGAGTGTAACCGTAACACGGGACTATAACGCGAGTGTTCGATCAAGAATATATCGTGCGTCCGGTTACTGACTACCAGCGTACCTGTGGTCACTATCAGCGTCACCTCACGCTAAGAGCAGCCCCAGGAGTAAGCACAGCAGCACACGTACAGCCTGGCTTCCAGTCAGCAGTATTAAAGTAAGATCTTTCCTTTTTTTTCTGTACATCATGAGCCAAACAATGGAGGATCTTGCAGAAAACCAGAATCAAATAATGGTGGCCATGAACCAGTTGTTAGTTAATTTTAAGAAAACTGGGCATGAGCGTAGGACTCCAGACTATGTCAAGCGACGTCTGGAGACTTTAGATGCCTATTGGCAGGAATTTCAGATGAATCATGTTACTTTGAGCGGTTTTAAGGACGAATCTTTAGAGTATTTCGCTAAAAACCGCTATCAGCAAACAAAAGAATTTTATATATCTACTCACGAGTACATAAAGCAAGCGACTACATCATCAGTTTTGAGACCCGCGACCCCTTTGGCTGGCACATCGGTCGGGGTGAGCGTGGAACAGCATACCAAGGATACCGAAATTAAATCCTTACCCGCGGCTCCAATGTTTCGGTCTCAAGGTACAAATAGCAAATTGGATGACTGGATGAAGAAGCAAACCAGTAACTTTAAGGCTTTTTCACGCGCAATCAGAAACATAAACATAGATAGCATAAGAGAAAGGTGGGAGTTTCAGGATACATTAAAATCTTTAGAGGCGAGATGGTCTGCTATTGACTCCCTTCACTGGGAGTTAGATGGGGAGCTCGATGGTAAAGACCAGTCATACGAAGACGCTTATTCAGCCTATGAAACAGCTTTTAATTGCATGAAAAAGAAACTGAATAGCAAGTTGTGGTCAGTAGCACATAGGGAAAAGTCAACCCCTAAGATGGATGTTCCTACATTTCAAGGCAATTATAATCATTGGGTTTCCTTTAAAGATTTATTCACGGAGACAATACATCACAACCCGTCGCTGTCGAATGCGCAGCGAATGCAATTTCTAAAAAGTAAAGTTAAGGGGGAGGCAGAAGCGTTGATACAACATTTACAGATTAGTTCAGAAAATTACACTACTTGTTGGGAAATTCTGAACCATAGATATAATAACAAAAAGCGTATCTTTATGTCGCACCTAAGTATTCTGTGGAACCTTCCAGTCATGCAACAAGCATCCCTTAGCCATATCAAGCGCCTTCACGACACAACATACGAGTGTCTCAACGCGATCAAAAATCTAGGAGTAGATGTGAGCACGTGGGATCCCTTTCTTGTGTTCCTATTAACAAACAAATTGGACCCTGAGACCCACGATGATTATTTAGGCTCTCTGAAACAACCACGTGAATTACCGATTTTACAGGACCTTTTAGACTTTTTGGAAAACAAATTCACGAACATGGAGTCCTCAAAGCGTAAACAGGAAACAAAATCTGTAAATTCTAACTCAAAATTATTACATGAAAATCATTCCAATAACAATCAGAAGTTTCGTAACTTCAGACAAACATATTCAAGTAATAAAGTAGTTTCGCAATTAAATACTAAATCAAATTACAACAAAATCTGCCCATTATGCAAAAATGAACATGGTCTATATCATTGCGAAATGTTTATTGCGATGTCTCCAGTAAATAAAATACAATTTGTTAACAAGCACAAACTGTGCGAAAACTGCTTATACAATCATAACGGTAAGGCATGTTTTTCAACAAAACGTTGTCGTGAATGTACCGGATATCATAATACAATTTTACACGAAGCATTTACGCAATCGCCAACTAAGTCAAAAAATATTGCTCTAGCAAAATATGATACCGCACGGGTATCCGCTGAGCAAGCACATCAAGTTAATTCGCACGTGGCACAAAAACGAGAAGTTCCAGAAATACTTTTATCGACAGCAGTAGTCAAGGTTCAAAAAATGGATGGGTCATACCTTACATTAAGAGCTCTGATTGATCAGGGTTCACAAACTTCCCTCATAACAGAGAATGCAGCACAACTATTATCATTACCGCGACAAAAATGTAACAATGTGATAACGGGTATCGGAGACAAAAATAATGCTTGCAAAGGAGTTGTTACCATAAACTGTACTTCCCGGAATGATTCTTACACTTTCAATACAAATGTTTTCATTATGAAAAAGTTGACAAAAAATTTACCGACTCACAGTTTCGCTAAGCCAACATGGGCGTACTTAGACAATATATTCCTTGCTGATCCAGATTTTAACATCAGCAGCCCTATTGATTTATTATTTGGCGCTGACATATATTCGAATATAATTATGGATGGCATATGCCGACTAGACAACACCATTCCCGTTGCTCAACAAACGCAGCTTGGGTGGATCTTGTGTGGACATGTGAACAAAACTTTACAATGTAACGTCATACAGGTTGACACTGATCAGTTACGTAGATTTTGGGAAACCGAAGAAATATCCGAATCTACGTCTCTTTCTTCGGATGATGAAAGATGTATACAATTTTACAAGTCTTCCACGCGCCGATTGCAAGACGGAAGATACGAAGTAAGGCTCCCTCTTAAAACGGGCATTGAGGAACAGTTGGGTAAATCAAAGTCGAAAGCTATTGCCCAATTTAGCCACTTGGAACGAAAATTTGCAACAAATCAAAATATCGCCTTTGAATATAAATCCTTTATAAACGAGTACTTAGCGTTAGGTCATATGACACGAGCTTTAGGTAACACGAAACTCGAATGTTTCTTACCGCATCATTGTGTACTGCGTGACTCAACAACAACGTCATTAAGAGTAGTATTCAATGCGTCATCAAAAACTACAAGTGGCCAAAGTTTGAATGATCTAATGTATAAGGGCCCAAATTTACAGCAAGACCTTCAGTTCCTTATACTAAAATGGAGACAATTTCAATTTGCTTTTACGGCAGACATCGAAAAGATGTTTCGCGGAATTTTAGTACATCCAGATGATCAGGCCTTACAGAAGATCGTGTGGAGGGAGAGCCCCACAGATATACTACAGGACTATCAATTAAAAACTGTCACATATGGCACGAAAGCAGCTCCATTTCTCGCTATGATGACTTTGAGACAGTTGGCTAGCGATGAAAGGAGCAAGTATCCAGAAGCAGCAAAGGTCCTAGAAGAGTCATTTTATATGGATGACTTGGTCCATGGGGCTCACAACATATCCACAGCTTATCAATTACAACAAGATTTAATTACATTATTAAAAAGTGGTGGTTTTAACTTACGGAAGTGGGCTTCAAACGAGGCTCAGTTGTTACATGATGAGACATTACAACAGGAATCAATAACTTTTAAACAACCGGAGTCCACAAAAACTTTAGGACTTCGCTGGAATCCGTCACAAGATAATTTCACATTTAATTTCAAAATAAAACCAATAGTCAGCAAAGTTACAAAACGGTCCGTGTTATCTGAGATATCTCAGTTCTTTGACCCCTTAGGATGGCTTACACCTGTTACCACTAAACTTAAAATTCTATTTCAAAGAATTTGGGTATCGAATATACAATGGGATGATCAAATACCGGCAGAAATATACGATGAATGGATCAAAATAAAATCAGAGATAGAACAAATCAATCATGTTCGATTACCGAGATGGCTAGGAACCAAACCAACCTACAAAATTGAGCTACATGGCTTTTGTGACTCGTCTACAAAGGCATATGCCTGTGTTATCTATTGTAAAGTTTACAACGACCAGTCAAACATTACTCTTGTCGCAGGAAAATCAAGAATAGTGCCGTCTAGTAAGAAAATAACATTACCACGATTAGAGCTTTGTGGAGCTCTTTTACTAGCGAATCTCATGGCTAAAGTTAAGTCATGTTTACAAGACTATAGAATTGACGTTTACGGCTGGACCGACTCTACAGCCGTTATAGGATGGCTCCAGGGAGAACCAGGCCGGTGGCAAACATTTGTCGCTAACAGAACAAGAGCAATCACAGAGACAATACCGTCTGCCTGCTGGCGACATGTGAAGTCTAGCGAAAACCCCGCTGACTGTGCAAGTAGAGGTTTACATATATCTCAATTAAATCAGCATCCCTTGTGGTGGCAAGGACCTTCGTGGTTGTTCACATTCAATAGCAATAACGAGGCGCAACAGCCCATTTACACAACCACAGAAGAATTAAAGAAACAGAAACATATAAACAATGTTTTGATGCAAGATACCAGTAACAATATCATTACAAACTTATTGATACACTATAGCTCGTTAAATAAAATTGTGCACATACTAGCATGGATGTACCGTTTTATAACATATAAACAAAGCAAATTGCGAGAGGAATATCTTACCTTAGAAGAAATCAGAAAAGCCAAATTATCGATTATCAAGCATGTGCAACAAGAAGAGTTTACAGAAGAGATAAGAAGTCTCAAGGAAAAAGGCAAGATAAGCAGTAAAAGTAAACTTCTAAATCTCAATCCCTATTTAGACAGTAAGGGTCTTTTACGTGTGGGAGGGAGATTACGACATGCTTACATCCATGCTGATATGCAGCATCCCATAATCATACCGCACAAAGGACGACTAACAGAGTTGATCATAGAAGAGGCTCACCGACTAACCTTTCATGGCGGTGCTCGATTAACGTTGGCGTTCATAAGACAAAAATATTGGATTGTGAGCGGTAACGACACCACTAAAAAACGGATACGTTTATGCTTAAAATGCAAAAAGATAAGTCCCCTTAAACAGCAACAGATCATGGGAGACTTACCCGAGGCAAGGTGTAATCCATCACGTCCGTTTGCCCACACTGGGGTAGACTTTACGGGACATATCCTGCTTAAAGCCAACAAGGGCCGTGGGATTAAGACAACCAAAGGTTACGTGGCCGTCTTCATTTGCCTGAGTACTAAAGCGGTACACTTAGAGCTAGCCTCAGACCTGAGTACCTCGACATTCATTGCAGCTTTAAGACGAATGGCTGCTCGCAGAGGAACGCCTACTCACATATACAGTGACAACGGTAGAAACTTTGTCGGTGCAAACAAATTATTGCAAGCAGAATATCATGACCTACAGCAAATATTCAACAAGGATTTTTTTGCTGAAGTTACAGAAATGGAAATCAGTTGGCATTTTAACGCGCCAATCTGGCCCTCAGCAGGTGGCCTGTGGGAATCGGCCGTTAAAAGCTTTAAATATCATTTTAAAAGAGTGATTGGTGAACAAAAGTTAACGTACGAAGAGTTGTCAACGGTATTAGCCCAAATCGAAGCGTGCCTGAATTCTAGACCTCTGTGCCCACTAACTGAAGATCCACAAGATTTGGCATATCTGACACCGTCACACTTCTTGACTGGTGGATCAGCACTTACATTGGTTGAAACAGAAAGAGACTTGAGAACCAGATGGCAGCTGACTCAGAGAATTTTCAGTGACATTTGGAAACGATGGCGTTCTGAGTATCTAACACAATTAACAACACGTAGCAAATGGCGAAAGCCTCGTGAAAATATCAAACTAAATGACGTAGTCCTTCTGCACGACGACAACCTACCACCGGGAAAATGGTCAATAGGTAGAGTGATAGAGCTGCATCCGGGTACAGACGGATATGTCCGGGTTGTTAGTCTAAAAACGAAAAACGGAGTACTCAAAAGACCCATCACAAAATTATCAATTTTGCCAATTAACCCTTCCAAATCGGAGATATTTCAAAACGATAAAAAAGTTGTATCAGACACTACTCCTCCCCCACTCACAAGAGAAATATAAGAAGTTATAATATCGTATCACTGCTTACATCCTTAATATTTTTTATGACTATCATATCAACTGTACAAAGCAGTTTTTATTTTACGAAATTTGGTCAAAAGCAAAGCATTTATTTCGATAAATTATCCGATATGCAGATAATAAGGGACGATTGGAAATTAATTATTTACTACGACATGCAACCTTACTGGGAGGGAATAAAAGCTCTCAATAAATACTATACGTCTCTCGAACAAATGTGTAATACAATAAATCATACAATTAACTGCGATATTATATTACTACAATTGAATCAAGGTGTTGTTGAACTTGAATATTACAAGTTCAGATGTTGCTCGGTCAGCATTCTAGCGCGCGACTGGACTCTCTGGCCAGGCAGCGACGCGGTCTTGTAGACGGCGTAAGATATCTCGCTAACAGTCTGTTCGGCGTATTAGATGGCCGATTCGCCGAACAATATCAAAAGGATATCAGGTTACTGCGTGACAACCAACGGCATATTTCGTCATACTGGCAGAATCAAACATCTATTATCAAAACACAATATTTTACTGTGATTGCGAACAAAATGCAATCTAGTGAGTTGAACGTAAAACCTGAGGTATACGCTCCAGTAATACCACCAATAAATCAGATTATCAACATCCCTATCCCACACTTAGTTCCACTGAACGAATGTGGAAAGTTATGATAAAGAACTGTCTAACATCGGCGAGAAAATTAAAGTCATGAAAGATAATGCACATTTATCAGAAAGCATCTCGCATCATGACATACAAGACTACACAGCGATCTACTGTATCGTCGGAATCGCAGGGTATTTTTGGCCTGGAATGGAACGTGACGTTACTGCTTTTGTAGCTAAATGCAAGAAATGCCAAATGCAGAAGCATTCTTTGCCCGTTAAAGAGCCTATGGTGGTAACTAGCACTGCCGCAGGCGCATTTGATAAGATATTTTTAGATTTAGTGGGGCCCCTAGATAAGGATTATTATGGTAAGGTATATATTTTAACTATTCAGTGCGAACTCACTAAGTTCGTAGAAGCATATCCTTTAGATCGTAAGGACGCTGTCACCGTAGCAAAATCTTTCGTAGAAAACTTCATTCTCAGGTATGGTATACCGCGAGAAATCGCGACAGATAAGGGTTCGGAGTTCATAGCATCAACAATGAGTGAGGTTTGTAAATTACTTGGTGTTCAACAATTATTTTCAACCGCTTACCATCATGAATCTATAGGTGCGCTTGAAAATGCACATAAAAATTTAAATGCTTATCTTCGGATACAGACTAATAATAGCTCTAGAGAGTGGAGCACCTGGGTTCCCTATTGGTCTTTTAGTTATAATACTACTGTACACACATCTACAAAATTTACGCCATACGAATTAGTGTTTGGAAAACTGTGTAAATTACCTACAAATTTGTCTCAACAAGTTGAACCTCTGTACAATAGTGATGATTATCCATTAACCTTGAAATATAGACTTCAAAAATCTCAGGTACAAGCTAGGGAAAATTTGTTAATGTCAAAAGTAGCCCGAAAACGTTATTACGATAAGCAAATAAATCCAACTATTTACGAACCTAATGATTTAATTTTATTACGCAATGAAAATTGCAATAAATTTCAGAATGTTTATATTGGTCCTTTTAAAGTTTTAGAAGATGTGTCACCGAATGTTAAAATAATTAGAGATAATAAAATTGAAACAGTTCACAAAAATAGAACCAAATTGTATAGAACTTAAATTTGTAATATTTACCTAGTTTTATAACCTTTAATTTTTTTTTCTTTTTGTTTACCATAAATATTGTGTGTTTTTAGATCTAAGGAATTTTTATAATGAAAATAAAATAAATATCTTGTATTATTTTATTTTTTTTAAAAGAAGGGGGGTGTAGTGTAGTAATACATATATAATACGTATGTCTATCTTAAGATAAAAGTAGTGATCACTATTGTATTTACTGCAGAATAAATCTGATCGTTGATCTAACAACATCTTTAATTTCTCTCTCGACACCCAACCTTACATAAACCCCCCCTACAACAAAATAACCCCCCTACAACAAAATAAAAACAAAAATTTAGAATTGAGGGTAGCTGTTTTGGAGGACGGACAAAAAGCTATCGAACAAAAGTCCCTATCATCTTCCTTGGAGATAGCCGGCTTACCCGTGATGGCTCTGAAGGACCTTAGGAAAGTCGTAACAGCGGTAGCTTTGGAACTTAATGTGGACCAATCAGATATACAGTCTATACAACGACTACCTGGAACAAAGACTGGTACTATCCAAATTGGAATGAAGAATACTCTAGCCCGTAAGCAGTGGATCGATGCCAGTAGAGAAAAAAAAATCACAGCGGGAGTCTTGCTGCCCGACATCCCCAGGGAAGTTGCTGAAAACCGTATTTATGTCAGGGAAGCCCTCACTAAGTATACAAAAACCCTTTTATATAATGCAAAAGCTCAATTAAATAAGTTGTTTGGGTATATTTGGTGTAGGGATGGCAAAGTGTGTGTTAGAAGGGAAAGTAACAGCAAAATCTACTATATCCGTTCACTAAACGATATTGATCAACTTCTAAAGACCACATAAATCTACTTTATTCTCGTTGCTACCAAATCACCTGTTTCAATTTATATTAATTTAATAAAATCCTAACAAAAACTAATGGATCCATGTACACAGATAATAGAAATACCCAACTGTACCTCTGCGAATGACTTCTTTAAAAAAGTACCTCCCCATAGCTTTTTAGGTGTATCTTGCTTACATATAAATATTAGATCAATGATCAAAAATTACACAAAGCTGTTAGAAATTGTTAAAAATTGTATGTCCCCATTAGATATTATTGTAATCACCGAAGCTGGTATCTCTGATAAAATTGTTCAATTATTCAACATACCGGGCTACAACATGTACACAAAACTGCGAAATAACAAACGCGGTGGTGGTGTAATGATATATGTTAAAAACCATATTAAGTTTACACAATCAGAACACAAAACTAGAACATACGAAAACATTACTGGAATACTTAAATTAAACACGAATGTTGATGCAGTTTTGTGTGCAGTTTATAGGCCACCACAAACTAACAAAAAGGTTTTTGTAAGGGAACTAAGTAATCATGTTTCAATGTTTAACACCAAACAAAACTTTCTTTTAGTCGGCGATACAAATATCGATCTGAAAGGCATAACATCCGAAAAAACGTCGTACTTAGACTCACTCAGCGAGAACGGGTTAACATGTGGAGTAACAGATTTCACAAGAATCGAACAAAGATTAAATATTACATCTAGAACTTGTATTGATCACATTTTTGCACGCTTCCCCACTTGTTATCCGTTCTCGGCAGTGTTAGATGTCGTACTGGCCGACCACAGAGCTCTGATATTTGCCTGCATTCACGATACACCTCCAGTGCATATACAGAGTGTATCAAAAACTATTATTGATAATGAGTTACTTCGGACCGAGTTAAAGAACGTCGAATGGTCGCGTACAAGAGAAATGCGATGTCCGAATGAGATTTATCAATTTATATATAACTCCTTTAAAGATGCGAATAAGATTGCTACATGTAAAAAAATATTCCATATAGATTCTAGTAAAAAAAGAGCCATAATGCCGTGGATCGACGATCACGTCACTCGACTATGTGAAAAACGAAATATACTTTTTAGACAGTGGAAAAAGAACACAAATAATCTCGAAATACGATTACAATACAACAAGACACGGAATAAAATACACAAAATCATAGAATTTAAACGGAATAAGTACTATACAAAAATTATCAACAATAACTTCAGGAATACAAAAAAAATATATGAAATAATTAACCAAATGCTAGGGCGAGTGACGCTGTCGATCGACTCGCTGATACTAAAGGCATTCAACACGCAGCAGTTATCAACCAAAACTGTTACAAACAACTTTGCTACAAGTTTCCGTGATTCTGTTAAAAACTTAATTCCAAATTGTAGCATAAAATGCCTAGACCCAAATGCTTACAGCGCGGAAGCCAATGCAAGTATTTTTTATCAAAAAGTTTCTAGTGAACAAGTACTTAAAGTCATTAATAATTTAAAACCCAACAAGTCGCCAGGACTCGACAATATTAAAATATCTCATATTAAACAAATAGCTGAAAACATCTCGGGTGCTATTGCTGACCTGATAAACTGTAGTGTGAGTACTGGTTTATACCCCGATCAACTGAAGGTAGGCTGTGTAAGACCGGTTCACAAGAAGGGTTCAAAAGTAAATTACCTCAACTATCGGCCGATAACTTTATTATCTTCTATAGATAAAATAGTGGAGAAGTCTGTGTGTCTACAGGTACGGCGATTCTATGAAAAACATGACATCCTATACCATAAACAGTTCGGATTTCAAACTGGTAAAGGAACAAACGAACTGCTATCGAAGTTTACAGATGAAGTAAACATGTTCCTAAATAACAGAATGCATGTCCTAGTTATTTTTATAGACTTTTCCCGCGCTTTTGACACACTAGACCACAAACTATTAATCAGTAAATTAGACAAGTGTGGGATCCGCGGTCCACTACTTTCTTGGTGTGAAAATTATCTCCTCAGCCGCAAGTTCACCGTGAAGGTAGATAACACGTACAGCGACCATATTACAGTTACAGAAGGCACGGCGCAAGGATCTGTATTGGGGCCTCTTCACTTTTTGACATACGTAAACGACCTAGCCAAGTGTGTGAAATGGAGTTCTTGTTATCAATTTGCCGATGATACCTGTCTCGTTGCAGCACACCAGAATGCGCAAAAGGCCGCAGAACTCTTACAGTCCGACTTCGATACAGTTCTAAAGTGGTGCCATGATGCCGGTCTGGTGTTGAATGCTGATAAAACTAAACTACTGCATATTAAATCTCCATACCTGGATAAATCTCAATTCAAAGACATACGTGCACACAACCACAACTGCTTACACACGTCATTCAACGATCCATGTAACTGCACCACCATACAAACCGTAACGACACATACTTATGTGGGGTTAGTTATTGACAGCAAGCTAAATTGGAGTAACCATATAGAACACGTATGTGATAAACTCAGACTGTTCCTTGCAAACATCACGCTGCTCAAAGACCGAATACCCTTTAAAGTCAAAATAATGTTATACAACTCAATGGCTGAATCCTATATCCAGTATGGATTGAGTAGTTATGGTCGTACCTTTAACACATATTTAAAAAAAATATATAACTTACAACGAAAAATTTTGCTAACTATCGTTCCAGCAAAAATTAAAAAGCAATTTTATAACGATGACAGTGGGCTTTTTAAACACTGTCATATCCTCCCGATCCAAACACAATTTAAATATAATTTACTAAAAGAAAACTTTTTCACCAATACATTTAACAAAAAAAAAACACACGATGTATATACAAGGGCAGCTGCTCGGAATCTTGTGTGCGAAATCAGTCGAGCGACAACAAATAATATATACGGTGAAAGAACAACCGAATTCTTAGTTCCCAGATTTATTAACAAACTACCCTCCGAATTGAGAGATATTCTGACGCCGGTGAACTTTAAATCTAAAGTACGGCCATTACTTTTTAATCAAAATTAATCATATATATTTTATTTCTTGTTTTATCTGTTCGCTTTTTATTTATGAAATATT